TGGTTTGGGTTGGTTGCTGTGCTTTGAATTTCTCCYTCAGCCTCTCCAGTGCTTATTTCCCTTTCAGTCCCATCCTGGACCTCTCCTCCCCATTTTTCTCCCTTTCAGTTATTTTTAACTTTTAGTTCATCTTCATCCAGCCACTTTCACTCTCCCAATTCCTCCTTCCAGCACCCACAGACATCCTAACCTTGGTATCTGATCCATGGCAGTCCTGGGATCTGTCACAACCTGAAAATAATGAAAACTTCATTTCTGTTCACCTGAATATTTGTCTTGGGGCATTTGACATTCTCTTACCAGTGATTGTGAATATCATCACTCAAAAGACTTTTTTATCAGTGATTTATTCAATTTTAGGTGATGTTACTCCATTATTAAATGATGATAAGACCAGTATGAGTTGGGCTTTGTTTTTATTTGCCTTTTAATAAGAATTAATTTCTTTTTCCAGGTGTGTCACATAGTGTTGGGACTGCGTCCTGCCACCCCAGAGGAGGAAGGACAAATTATTAGGTGTGTGCTTTTGCTCAGGAGCTTCCATGGCTTTCACCCTCACCTTTTGGTGTTTTCAAGAGGACTGGAAGTTGCCTATTTCAGCTGATAATTCATGTTTTCTCTGTGCAGAGGCTGGTTAGACAGAGAAAGCAGGTATGGCCTCCAGCCAGGGCACAACTGGTTTCTCATTGCCATGCCCTGGTGGCACCAGTGGAAAGAATATGTCAAATATGTAAGTAAAATAATAATAATAATAATAATAATGATAATAATAATAATAATAATAATAATCTGTACTGAATGAGTGATTTCTGAATGTGTTGATGGAAAAAACAGTGTGGAGCAAATGTCTGTTGAACCAATAATGTTTAGAATTGAGCATCTCCTGTCTCTTGGTGGAAAATAATTGTTCTGCTGAATCATTGTTAAGTGGGAAGCTTTTGATTGTGATTTCATTTAACTCTCATCTCTTTTATCAATCCCACATCTCAAAGTCCTTTTTGCATAAAAACCTGCTCTCACAGTAGCACTTCCTTGGAATTTTCTGATCCATTTGATGTTAAAGCTGCCCATTTTGGCTTTGGCCACAAATACACCCTGAATTTTCTGGGCATGGGAGAAAATTGGTCTAATTTGCTTTAGAGGCACTGACAAAATGTAGTCTGGTACCCAATGATGATCAAAGGAGTCCTGCTAAAACCTCATAGCTACAGGGTGCTCTTTAATACCCTTTAACTAAAATATTTAAGCACCACTATGAATTTGACAAAATACAGAATGCTTAATAAATTGAACACAATTTAATTGGAGCTAAGTATTATTTGCAAGCTAAACAAGTGAAATAAACCTCTCAGAAGAGTTTTATATCCTCAGAAGTAATCAGATAAGTATTTGATTTGGTTTATAAAAACAAATAGCTGCATGTACTSAGGAAACTGCAGTGTGTGCCTAAACTAAGCATGTAATGAGAATTGTGCACAATAAATTGGACAAAYGATGGTTGAAATGCCTGAAATGCCAGGTCATTTGATCCTTACCCTGGTGCAAGTGCTCAGATGTGCTCAGGATTTCATCCCTAATCCTTTGCATAATGGCACAAAGCTGTTCCTCACTGCACCTCTTAAGCAAAAGAAAAAAAATCCCAGAATTTCTGTGAAAATGCTGCAGGATTGAGGAAAAAACGGGGTTTTATTCTTGTGCTTGCTGTTCTCATTGAACCATCTGAACTTCAAATCTTCMAATATTTATAGTCTGTAATTACAGCTGTTTAAAAGGTGTATTTTTATGTATCTAAGTAGAGAAATTAATTGTAGAATCCTGATCCAGTGCAGAATGGTTTATTTGATTGTTTTAACAATTTTGGCTGTTCATTTCCACTGATTATTTTTTTAATTTTTTTTTATTTTTTTTATTTTTATTTCCACTGACTTTTTTTTTATTTATTCAGGTTTGCTGAAGAAAAGTATTAGAAAATACTCTTCTTCAGCAAAAAGAAAAATTTTTCTTCAGCAAAGCTGATGTGCAAAATTGGTCCCAAAACTGTGAATTTGAGGTGTCTGCTTTGCCTTCCATGCCTTTGATCTCAGCTGCTAATGAACTTTTTGATTTATTCCCAACTCTAGGATGCAAACCCTGTTGTGATAGAGCCTTCATCTGTCTTGAGTGGAGGTAAGAATTCCCTCGTAGCTGCTGCAGCCAATACCCCAGAACAGGGAGAAGACAAAATGGGAGGTCTTAATGACTTCAGTGCATCAGAAGAAAAGTTTTCAGATAATATTTCCACTGCCTCAGAAGCCTCAGAGTCCACCAGCAGCAGTAAGCACCTTATTTCCTTGGAGGTTTACGTGTAGAAC